GTTTAATTGCAATTTAAAATCAATATTATATAATTTCCTAATTATAATGGATTAATATGTTTTTAAAACATTAAATAGCCCTAAAACTAATCCCCGATTAATCTCGAGTAATCTCCGATTTTCTTACTAGGCGCTAGGTGCACCCTCACCACCCGACTAGCGCCTAGTGATTTTTTTAACTCGGGTTCAAACCAATCAGAATACATATTGTTGAAAAATATAATTAAACAAAAGAAAACATAAATTATAGGGTTTAAACTTTTGGTCGTAACAACGCCTCCCATATATTTTGCTTTTCTCTAATCTTATGTATATTTTTATAATCACATAATTCATTTTAATATCTTTTTAGTTGATCTCTTCCCTTTACGTGTGAAGAACACCAAGTCTCGCTCGCATTAGTTTCTGCGTCAAAGAGTAGTTTCTCCCCTCTCCGACCATCATCATGTGGTGCCAGAGAAAATTTATGTGGACACAACCACCATATAATGAATGATATTCGTTTTCACACTGTTAAAAGACAAAAAAAAAAAAAAAAAAAAAGACTCGAAGAAGCTTCATCAAAGTGGTTGATTCTACTCAAGATCCTCTCTCATGGCTTCTTCTTCTTCTTCTTCATCTCGTACCTGGAGATACCGCGTCTTCACGAGCTTCCATGGACCAGACGTCCGCAAAACATTTCTCAGCCATTTACGCAAACAGTTTATCTACAATGGAATTACGATGTTCGATGACCAAGGGATCGAGAGAAGCCAAATCATTGCCCCAGCTCTCACACAAGGAATTAGAGAATCAAGGATTGCGATCGTCGTGCTCTCGAAGAACTATGCTTCATCAAGCTGGTGTTTAGATGAGCTTTTGGAGATTTTGGATTGCAAAGAAGAATTAGGGCAGATAGTAATGACTGTCTTCTACGGAGTAGATCCTTCTGATGTGCGAAAACAAACCGGAGATTTTGGGATTGCTTTCAATGAAACTTGTGCTCGTAAAACAGAGGAGGATCGGAGAAAATGGAGCCAAGCTTTGACCTTTGTGGGCAACATAGCCGGAGAACACTTCCAAACTGGTTTGTGTTTTATACTTTTATGTTCTGATATAGATTTTGCTATGGTATGTTAAGGGCTATGATGAATTGGAGTTTGATTATAGTATCAAATCTTGAAGTATATCTTGAAGTGTTTAGTCTTAATAAGATATTAAGATGTTTGTTACTACTTATGTTTTGGAGTGTGTTTATTTTGGTCGAGTCTGTGCTCTGTTGAGAACATAAGAGATTCTCATGACTAAATTTTTTCTTTCTTTCTTTTGGTAGGGACAATGAAGCAAAAATGATAGAGAAGATTGCAGCTGATGTTTCAGATAAACTCAATGGTACACCATCTAGGGATTTTGATGGCATGGTTGGACTTGAAGCTCATTTGAGAAAAATGGAGTCTTTGCTTGATTTAGATTATGATGGAGCTAAGATTGTTGGAATCTCTGGTCCTGCAGGCATTGGTAAGAGTACCATTGCTAGAGCTTTACATAGTGTACTATCTAACAGGTTTCAGCATAATTGTTTTATGGACAATCTTCATGAAAGCTATAAGATTGGTCTTGTTGAATATGGCGTGAAGTTGCGCTTACAAGAGCAACTTCTTTCAAAGATTTTGAACCTAGATGGCATTAAGATAGGCCATTCAGGTGTGATACAAGAAAGGCTACACGACCAAAGAGTTCTTATCATTCTTGATGATGTGGAGAGTCTAGATCAACTAGAGGCTTTGGCTAATATCATGTGGTTTGGTCCAGGAAGTAGGGTCATAGTGACCACTGAAAACAAAGAGATTTTGCAGCAACATGGTATTAGTGATATTTACCATGTGGGTTTTCCATCAAGTAGAGAAGCTTTAATGATCTTTTGTCTATCTGCTTTTCGACAAATCTCTCCACCTGGTGGGTTTATGGATCTTGCCGTCGAAGTTGCAAAGCTTTGTGGTAATCTTCCATTGGCTCTGCATGTTTTGGGGTCATCATTGCGGGGGAAAGAACTATTCTGACTGGATAGAAGAGCTACCAAGATTACAAACTTGTCTTGATGGAAGAATTGAGAGTGTATTGAAAGTGGGCTATGAAAGTTTACATGAGAAAGACCAAGCACTATTTCTCTACATTGCGGTCTTCTTCAACTATGAACATGCTGATCATGTGACATCCATGCTGGCAAAAACTAACTTGAATGTTACACCTGGGTTAAAAATATTAGCCAATAGACATCTCATACAGAAAGGTCATGGCGCTAAAGGTAAAGTGGTAATGCACCGTTTGCTACAAGTAATGGCTAGACAAGTCATTTCCAAACAAGAGCCTTGGAAACGCCAGATTCTTGTAGATACCCAAGAGATTTCCTATGTTTTGGAAAATGCAGAAGTAAGCTTTCTGTTTGAAGGGATTTGCATTTTTCACTGCAATTTAAGCAGATCATCTTGCCACTAACAAGTTTTCCTTTGGCATTGTTTTTGTTAGGGTAATGGATCAATTGTGGGTATATCCTTTGACGTAGGAGAGATCAACAAATTAACATTAAGCGCTAGGGCGTTTGAAAGAATGCACAATCTTTACTTCCTAAAAGTTTACGATCGGTGGCTTACTGGAAAAAGACAACTGCACATTCCAGAGGAGATGGATTTTCTTCCTCGCCTAAGGTTACTACGTTGGGATGCATACCGAGAAAGAGTCTTCCTTCTAGATTTTGCCCAGAAAATCTAGTCGAACTCGACATGGCCTATAGCAAACTTGAGAAGTTATGGGAAGGAACTCAGGTTAGTTAGTTATGTGTGTTGATATGAAAAGAGAGAGCTTATATTTGATATTCTCATTAAAATATATAAAATATGATGAAAAAGTTCTCATTATGTTCTGACTTTTACATTCAGCCGCTTCTAAATCTCACGAAGATGAACTTCAGAGGGTCATCTTGTTTGAAGAAACTTCCAGATCTTTCAAATGCTTCAAATCTTGAGAGATTGGATCTGTATGATTGCACTGCTTTGGTAGAGCTTCCATCTTCAATTTCTAATCTTCGTAAACTAAACTACTTAGAGACGAATCTTTGCAGAAGTCTACAAGTCATTCCAACTCTCATTAACTTGGCATTTCTTAAAGAGATCAAGATGATGGGATGCTCACGATTGAGAAGTTTTCCAGATATTCCTACCAACATCATTAAACTCTCTGTGATGGATACTAAGATTGCAGAACTTCCTTCATCACTTAGGCATTTATTGCTTCTTGGGTCTTTCGATATAAGTGGCAGTGTAAATCTCAAGACCTTTTCAACACATCTCCCCACGAGTGTAACAGAGCTTCACCTAGACAATAGTGGTATTGAGAGTATTACAGATTGCATCGAAGGTCTTCATAATCTACGTGTCCTTGCTCTATCAAACTGTAAAAAACTCACGTCATTGCCGAAGCTTCCTGGTTCACTCAAATGGCTACGGGCAAACCATTGTGAATCACTGGAGAGAGTAAGTGAACCTTTAAACACACCAAATGCAGACCTTGATTTCAGCAACTGCTTCAAATTGGGTCGACAGGCACGACGAGCGATTTTTCAACAATGGTTGTTGACGGGCGGGCTCTCTTACCAGGAAGAAAAGTACCTGCACTGTTCGATCATCGAGCCAGAGGAAATTCATTAACAATTCCTAATTCTGCTTCTTATAAGGTTTGCGTTGTGATTTCTACAGAGTTCGATCATCAAGCCAAAGATTCTACTATAGTTTCAAGACTATTGTGTCGTTGCAGAGTCATCGGCAACTTAGTAAACTCCATCGACGTTAAGTTTGTCCTATCCGATATCTGCAAATATAGAATGGAGCATCTGTTTATATTTCATATAACGAATCCGATGCCATTTTTTTACCCCTCTAGCAGAGGGATAGTGCTTGAATTCAGCAGCATATACCAAGATTTCGACATTATTGAATGTGGTGTCCAGATCTTGACGGATGAAACAGACGGAAACAACAATGGGGGATCTGGAGATGAAGATGATCTCTGGTATATACATGAATTCAGCGAATCATTGGACAAAGAAGAAAAAGAGAATGATAGCGTCGCTAAGTCTGAATCCTGCGGAGTGTCAGACAAAGAAGATGATGAAGAGGGAAACAAAACTGAATCTGGAGAAGCAACAAAAGACAAAGATGAGGATATCGCTGACGACAGTGACTCCGAATCCATATCCAAGAAGCATCCTAGGAAGAGGACGATGATAAGTGCTACTACTAATCTGAAGAAATGGATTCTCTGTCTTTTTATTTTCTTCTTTTTTCCTTTTGCTTTTGTGAAATTCTCCATCTACTTTGAATTTCTAACATATGTTAGTAAGTATCTCAGTAAAAGTTCCCTCACTTCATATAGAGATGAACAAAACTTGTATTATGTTATGTTTGTGTGACAGGGTATTTTGTATATATGACAAAATGTTATAAAACTTTTTTCATTGTTACATAGTGTGAAGAAGGAGAATGAATGGAAAGATGTAACGAAAAGACGCTATTTGTGTACGTTGTCGTCTTGTTCAATTATGTGAAAGTTGTGTTCACTGACTGTAATTTGGATGGCTAAAAAAGCAGTTTGAAGATCATAGTCATTAAACCTCTCATAAAGATTTTTGATTCTTAAAAAATCTCATGTTAATTAGGATATTCATATTGAACAACATACCGTACATAAAAGTTATTAATGAAATAGTGCTGAGGAATGTATTCATGTAAAAATATCATATTATTATGATGAGAGACTTTAAACATATTATCTAAGTAATCGAGTTTGTATAAATCTCCGCACAACAATTTCGAGATCCTATACTTGTTGTATATAAGAAGTCCTCTCTAGGGTAACTTATGTTTTTTACCCCTGTTTTTCCTCTGTTTTCTTCCTGTGGTCGTCTGATTTTTCCCTTCAGTAGTAGTATTCAGCTCTTGATATATCCTGAGAAGCGAGACGAAAGAGCAAAGAATAGATATTGATTAGTCTCAAGATAACATCAAAAAGAGAGAGGGAATTTTTTTGGTGCATTCAAATTTTTACTTTAATATGCCCAGCGGGGACTCGAGGGCATGGTCATCGACTAGCCATAGATTAAAGTCTTGAAAGCGTTTCATTTTCCGTTCATAACCGATAATGTAGTTATTATGAACTATGACATGTTTCCCCTTTGTCTCATTAACCCATGTCTCATTCTTGAAGTACAATCCTCCTGATGGGAAAGCTGATTGTGGAAGCAAGTAGACATCTACCTGCTTAATGGAAGATCACAAAAGAGTTGAGAATTCAAATAAGTGAAAATAATTTTTGAGATTGAAACTAATGTCGTAATCAAACATTTATATGTAGATTAGATGAGTTATGACTTATGAGTAGAAAAAGTTAGAATCTCAAAGTACCAAAAAAGTTTAGTCTAACTTCCGTGATCCTATACATTCCATCGAGATAATGGTTTATATCGGCCTATATATTTTGAACTGAATCATATTTTGAGACCAACAATAATTTTTACTTAGACCGACTGAGTTGAGTTTACAAACTAGATTCTGAATGAGTGAAGCGAAAGTCATAATCGAACATTCATAAGTAGACAATAGGAGTTGTGTAGATAAGGTTAGAATATATAAGTAAGAAAAAAAATTAGTCTAACTTCCAATGTGTGATCCTAAAGCGTTCCATCGAGATGATGACTTTTATCATTCGATCTTGAACCGAATCACATTTTAAAACCAACCATTAATCTTACTAAATCCAGCTGTTTTGAGTAAACTAGATTCTGACACCATGTTAAATTTCATGAACTTCTAATTCAAGACAAAATGGTAATGAATACAATGGTTCATGTGTCTTATTTATTACTTTGGGTCCATTCTAATTTTCGATGTGGAATCAGAACACACTCTATTGGAGATCTTAAATCTTAATATCATTTTACCCAAAGCTTCTGAAAATTTAGAGAAAGCAAATGTGGCATTGGGAGCTAGGAAGCTACATTACATACCTGATTAGCTGTTTTGTGAAGCGCCCGATTAAAAGCTGGCTGATCATGTGGTTTCTTTGCTTGGGTGTTATTCCAAGGTTGAGCTTGAATTTCCTCAACCCATGTCTTCATTAGAAGCTTTGCGCCATCCGTGGAACGCAAGAAAATCATGCAGCTACATACATAAGTCACTCCGCCTCGACTCAGAGGTGGTAGACCATGGGAATGATTCAAAGGCTTAATCTGGCAGCACCGAAATCAAACAAAGAATAAAGATACATAAATACTTTAATTAAAATGCAAAAGATTCAGATATGTTACGTACCGCAATCATGTCATCCATGAAGTATGCGTCGTGGCTTCCTTGTAAATATTGAAACGGATCTTGTAGCCAGACCATATCAACATCATTGTACATAACATTGTAACCTAGCTCCAAAATGTTCAAGAGATGTTGTGGCCTCCGAGATGTCAGATTGAAGAAACCCTATCGAATATAATAAATTATTAAAAATATCTGATTATTCGCATTCTAGTATAGATATTCTTTGCATAGATTATCACATTGGTGTCAAATATAATAGTTCTGAACAGTCATCGACTCTTCAGAAAAAATTAAAGAGAGATTAGAAGAATGGGACCTAGTACAATCCATTACATACGTGTTATCTGTACACTTCAACCATATTATTTTAATCCACCTCTTAGAAAGAAAAATACTAGCATGACAATATATACATTTATATGAAACTTCTACCCCAATAATTATTTGATTTATTGGTTGCATCATTGTAGTAAAAGTCATAACTACTGCAAGACATAAAGGAGAGTTTCTAAGCGGCTATACCGTAAAACAGAGGAGGCAAAATCATTTCAAAAACTTATGATCCAAGTAATCTGTTAAATAACACTAGCTAATAAAACAATATCCAAGATCTATGCAAAGTAGAAAAATAAGTATCCTAACTAAAACATTATTTTTGGTAAACATATGAAGATTTATACCAATTTTCGAGTTTTTACAGAACACAGAGATGCAACAAAGAAGATAGAAAACCAAAATCTACAAACAAACAACAATACCAAAGACAAATACATAATAACCCGAGTTTCGAATATAGATTTTATGAACTTAAAGTTAAGGATATTATTATATCAAGCTAGGGACGGACGTTGGATAAGAAAAGGTGAAAACTCTCTCTGTACCTGGGAACCAAATTTGTGTGCGGCTTGAGGATCCAACGCTGGAGGAATGAGAACAGCATGACCAGGCCACTTTTCGTTGACTTTGTACAAAGTAGCGTAATCTTCAGCGATCACAAGAACTTTTTCTTCATGGTTCTGTCTAGAAATGCTAATCAACCAGGGTAACTCCATGATAGGACTACTCTGACCTAGGTACATGTGTTCATTGTAGAAGAAGGATTACGAGGGCTAAGAGAGATCTACCAAAGGAATCGAGATTCTAAAGCATTAACAATGAAGAAGGGAAAAACACCTTAAACTATAAAATCGTAAAAGTAAAGCATATCTATGTGGTTACATAATACATGGGTATTTATAAGGTCTGAGGTGCGGTCCCTAAAGAGAGAAAATAGGCGGTTTAATGAAAGCTCATCGATCCGTGGACCATGCGTTCTTCCACTGGTCGGTGCAATTCTTCACCGATCAGGCCACTTGGATTTTCTCCTTTTTTGTCTTTTTTGGCCCATTTCTTCCTAAAAATGCCCACTTCTGTTCCACAGGTCCAAATTCCTAAAAACACTTATTTACATCGAAAACGACTTGTTTCTGAATAAAAGATTCGATAAAACATATAAAATGTGTTAAAAATATCACTTAACAATGATTGAACCTGATGAGTGATTATTCCAATCATAGCGTTGTACAAAAGCTTGTCTTGTTGCTTCAAGAAAGAGAAGTCTAGATTTGCGGTGATGATATTGTTTGTTGTAAGCGTGGCCAGTGGAGCAACGGTGGATTCATCGAGGTATCCCGCAAGTTCCTAGCCATCAAGCAAGGCGTGGATCTCACGTTTCCACATTAGATAATTCATGGAGTTGAGTTTTGTGATGTTAGACTTGTTGACATTGAAGAGTGTTGGAGAGGAGGTCTGGATTGCTTAACCGGTGGCTGGAGCACTATTTGCATTTGTCATAGTTGCCATAGTGATGGCTAAGAGTTTTTGAAGATTTTTTTTAGGTTTTAGAATCGTAAGCTCTATACCATATAGAATTTTAATATTTTAACTTTATTAGAATGAGATTTACATCTATTTATAGAGAGATAGATGAGAGATTAGGGTACACTAATGATAATTGATAAAAATATAATTTAGAGAAAATTAGAAATAAAGGAGGTCTAAATAAAAATTTGACCATGTACACCTTTTTATTGAGAATGTCATTTTGGACCAAAATACACCTACTCTCTATTTTAAGCATTTTTTGAATGATTTTACCAAAAAAATGTAGATATACAAAAATCTAGATACTTTGTAAAAACAAAATTGGTGATAATTTAATCTAATATTATTAGAATACGTTTTTAGTGTTCTACGAATATCAGAGTTTCTATTCTAAACATTTATATATGTTCTACAAGTTTTAGACTAAATTTTTGTCCTAACAAATTCAGAAGACCGGATTACAAATTTCTAAAAACCGTAGAACATGTATTCTACGCTTTCCTTGATATTCTAATTTTGTCGGAAAATCGATTCTACGATTTATACTATGTTCTGTAAACGTTAGAAAATATATTATTATTTTAGAATATATTTTTAAAATAATATAGATTTCAATTTCTGAAATGTTTAGATTTGTCTGTTATTTTGAGTCCACGTTGAAAGAAAAATCTGTAGTACAAAAGTGTCACATAGCATGCATTAATCTTCCCAACAAGAAACCTTTCATTGCGCGTTTGCATTATTACACTGGAGCCCACATTCCCATTTCTTCAAAGTCAGTTGACTTTTCTTTTTTCTTCTCTACTTTCGTTTGAAATTTCGGTTACGTTCCAAAGAAACTTCTCATTTCACACACATTTCAATCACAAAGTTCGGGCCTTCGGCTGCCATATTCTCCTCCATAAAAGGCGTGTCTCTGTGAATCTGTGATTTTGAACCACTCAAGATCATCTCTCATGGCTTCTTCTTCTTCTTCACCTCGATACAATGTCTTCACGAGCTTCCATGGACCAGACGTCCGTAAGAAATTTCTCAGTCATTTACTCAAGCAGTTTGATGACAATGGAATTACAATGTTTGATGACAACGGGATCGAGAGAGGCCAAATTATTGCCCCAGCTCTCACGGAAGTGATTAGAGAATCAAGAATCGCGATCGTATTACTCTCGACGAACTATGCTTCTTCCCGTTGGTGTTTGGATGAGCTATTGGAGATTTTGAAGTGCAAAGAAGATATAGGTCAAATAGTGATGACTGTCTTCTACGAAGTAGATCCTTCAGATGTACGAAACCAAACGGGAGATTTTGGGAACGCTTTCATTGAAACTTGTAAAACAGAGGATCAAAGGAAAAAATGGAGCGAAGCTTTGACCTATGTGGGCAATATAGCCGGTGAAGACTACAAACACTGGTATGTATTTAATTAATTACAATTTATTTTTCTTATGAGTTATGATGAATAATGGTGTTTAATGATTTTATGTGGGATGATATGGATTGTGAAAATTTGGAATTTGATTATTGTGATATGTACATTTGAAACTTTAAGTATATTTGATAGAAATTTTTTTATGGAATTTTATGGCTTGTGATGAATTGGAGTATGATATTAGTTATAAATATCAATTCTTGAACTATATTTGATCAAAATCTTAATATTATGTTTGTTATTGCTTCTGTTTTAGAATGTGTGTAATTGTTTGTTTTGGTCAAATATGTTTTGGAGTGTGTTTAATTGTTTAGAGGAGCCATAAATCGGTAGTGTCCATGCAAGGAAACAGAGGAATGTTCTCTGAATTATTTTTTTCTCATGAATTTTGTTTTTCTTTTGTTAGGCCCAATGAAGCAAAAATGATCGAGAAGATTGCAAGAGATATTTCGACGAAACTAAATGCCACACGGTGTCGGGATTTTGATGGCATGGTTGGACTAGAAAGCCATTTGAGAAACATGGAGTCTTTGCTAGATTTAGATGATGTTGGAGTTACGATTGTTGGAATCTCTGGTCCTGCAGGCATTGGTAAGAGTACCATAGCCAGAGCTTTACATAGTCGACTCTCTAGCACGTTTCGTCTTAATTGTTTTATGGACAACCTTAAAACAATTTGTAAGATTGGTCTTGATCACTATGGTTTGAAGTTGCACTTACAAGAGCAACTTCTTTCTAAGGTTCTAAACCTAAATGGCATTAAAATATGCCATTTAAATGTGATACAAGACAGGCTACACGAGCAAAAGGTTCTTATCATTCTTGATGATGTTGAGAGTCTAGATCAACTTGAGGCTTTGGCGCGCTGATATTAGGTGGTTTGGTCCTGGAAGTAGGGTCATAGTGACCACTGAAAACGTAGAGATTTTGCAGCAACATGGTATAATTGATATATACCATGTGGGTTTTCCATCAGAAAGGGAAGCTCTAACGATCTTCTGTCTATCTGCTTTTAAACAAGCTTCTCCACCTGACGGGTTTATGGATCTTGCGTTTGAAGTTGTAAGAATTTGTGGTAATCTTCCATTAGGTCTGCATGTTTTGGGATCTTCATTGCGGGGAAAGAGCAAGGATGACTGGATTGATAAACTACCAAGGTTGGAAAAGTGTCTTGATGGAAGAATTGAGAATGTATTGAAAGTAGGCTATGAGAGTTTAAATGAGAAAGACCAAGCTTTGTTTCTCCTCATTGCAGTCTTCTTCAATTATAAACATGTTGATGAGGTGACATCCATGCTCTCAAAAACTAACTTATTGGATGTTAGACTTGGGTTGAAAATCCTAGCAAATAGATATCTCATACATATAGACCACAATCGTGAAGTGGTAATGCACCGTTTGCTACAAGTAATGGCTAGACAAATTTGTTCCAAACAACAACTTTCCAAACCCAAGATTCTAAACATTAGCTTGTCATTTATCGGCCCCTCTAAAGTGACCAGGAAGATAGTGCTCGACTTCAAAAGCATAGACAAAGACTTCAACATTATTGAATGGGGATCACTTATTGAATGTGGTGTCCAAATCTTGACGGATGAAACAGACAGAAGAAATAATGGGGGATCTGGAGATGAAGATGACTTCTGGTATACAGAAGAAGTCGGCCAAGTATCAAGCGAAGAAGAAGATGACGTTGATAATATCACTAAAGGGAAACTCGATTCCAAATCCGACGACACGTCCGACAAAGAAGACAATGAAGAAGGATACATATCTGAATCTGGGAAACCTTCCGACAAATTAAATAATAATACTTGTGAACTAAAAATTATTGCATACAGTACTTCTTAATTTTTTTTATACTTCTTAATTTGTTTTACTTTTGCATGCAGTACTTCTTAAGACTTTAATTATTTTATTTTGTTTTCAATAGACATGAATATATATAAAGTGATTTGTTTTCTTGTGTTTTCAATTTCTTAACTTCATTGTTGTATTTCATGAATTTGTTGTTATCACTAACTAATTTATATCGTCTCTATGACTATAGCAAAAAACTAAACTACTAGACATGTACATGATATTAGCAATAATGAGATAGAAAAGTATGAAAGAATATATACTTTCACATTATGTGTATGTTGTTACTTTCGGGCGCTTGCAAATCTCGAAATTATGAACCTCTTAAGGTCTTCTCGTTTGAAGGAACCCACATATCTTTCAAACGCTACAAATCAGGATTGATTGGATCTGTCTTTTTGCACAGCTTTGATATGAACGGAACGGTAGCATCATCGTAGACGCTCGTAGTCAAATAACCAAGCTTCCCGCAACGAATCCGTTCACACGAGTCAAACAACCACAATTGTCGATTCTCCCGAACACAACACAGCCTAAGGCTTTTTAACTCGTACCACGAACGAGAGTTGTGTTAATCGGACAAGACTAATACCAGTTGGTTTAACCATTTAGCTTTTAGAAATTTGAGTCTCCTTACTTACATATATCATACGTAAAATTGTTATCAAAACAGATATAGTTTTCGGATCCTTTTTGAAAACCATACATAATATATTTAGAACGAATTTACAAAGAGCCGTAAAACCTATATTGATTCGACCTAAGTCACTTGCTCCCTCTACAGAGGTTACCCACTAAGGTTTCCTGCAAAATAAGAAGTGTCATACGTAATCTAGCATTACTTAGTGAACCCATGATCTATACAAATAATAACCCAACACCCTTCCCCCAAATTGCAAGCAACAAACAATGATAGTATACAAGCAAACATAGAACAAGCAACGATAACATAAGTAGTATACCGGATCTTCGATTAGTTCTTGGCTCCTCCTACCGGATCTTCGATTAGTTCGATATTTCCGGCCCAGTCTACCATCGACGGGTTCTTGAAGCCTCAAGTGAAGCTTCGCCGTTTAGCCGATCCAAGGAGTTTCAAGGTTCTATAATTTTCGAAGTCTTTTTATTACCAGGTGAGGAAAGAAGACCAGAAGATCTTTTCCGTTTGGTGTTCTGATCTCAGATTCTCCTGACGAGAAGAAGAAGTTAGATTCAATTAGTGAATTCGTGGGCTTTAGTTCTTAATTTTCTATCGTATGTTTCCCCTGTTTGGGGCTTGGTGTCCGGGGGTTTCATTCCCGCCCGGCTTATGTTCCGGAGGATTAGTTCCTGCCGGCTTTGTGTCCCGTAAAACACTCGGGTTGTTGCCGTCCCGTAAAACAGTCGGGCTTTTGTATCAGCTTTTGCTTGGCATGTTATAATAAAAATAAATGTTCAGTGAAAAAAAAAAAATAAAAAAAAAAAAAAAGGTATTTATCGGGGATGTATGTCGGTTTGGGAAAGCATGAGGTGGCTGCGGGCTCACGGAGTTTCGACATATGGAGGGCAGGTGTCGATATCCGGGGCTGCGCAAACACCAATCTGCTTCCGATTGGTTCCTTCGGTTTTACCGGATAAACATCACCATAATTGGATAAATTCGACCCTAATTGGATAAGTATTACTACAAAACGGATAAGTTTGAGCCACTATTTAATATCGGCCGTTCATTCCCTTAAACCGTAGAAAATTAAGTATCGGCCAACGATCCGTGAAGGTTGTCAACCCTATCGCCC